CGAGAGTTCAACACGACACTCCGAAGAATGTCAGTAAATTTCTGCTCATTGTGTTGGTCTTCAAGAAACGTGTCTAGAACTGAAGTGACAGGATATGATGGTGAACCTGATTGTATTAATAGTGAATGATGTTATGGATGTACTCTGTGCTTGTATGCGAGTCATTTGACTATACAGTAATACACTTTCCCTCTGCACTCTTTACAATTGTTCGAAGAGGGAAATTTTTAATTTCATTTTATATAGCAATTATTAATATTTAAAAATAATTACTGAATTCATAAAATTCGGCATTTACAACGTATCTTCAAATACTTATATCTTCGATTAACTTCATCGTATTACTTTTTCCATGATTGATAAAGTGCTTCTAATATGAAAATATGATTTTCTTCAGGCCAAAATCTGATTAGTAATTGAAGTAGCTAGTTTTATAATTGTTCTCGGCAAAAAATTTCGAACATCATGCCTTTGCTTTCTAACTTGTAATAAAATAATAGTTAAAGTTGATCCAAAAAAGAGAACGCAAGAAGCTTTGAAACTCTGAGATATGCATTTAAATGGTCACATCTTAAGAGGAGAGAGCTTGAAAAAATATTTAAAAGAATATCTACCGCAAAATAGTGGTTTCTCGCAAAGGAGAAACGAGATAATAAATAAAATAAATCTGTCACCGTTGTTGTGTTCATAAAAATACTCGTTGACTTCTTGACATTTAAAAAGGAAGGAGGTATATAACAGAACATGAAAAGTCTAATTGTTTGCCGTTGGTACATTGAAGACGTTTGGAGAGTCCAATGCTCAAGAAACGACAGATAAAAAAGAAGAATTATAATGACTGCTCTTCCTGGCCCTGACGGGAAAATAAATCTGAACTTCAAACCAATAAAAAGACACAGCGAGAACACTTGTGGGGAGAAGATTTCAATTAATTAAAGAGCATTGCACCTGCTTAGGTCTCGAATCTGTCACAACATCAGGAAGATAATGAGCATCCTTGAAGAAAAGACGTGAGGCAACGCAGTTCTTCTCGGTACTGGGGTGAAGTTAGAAGTGTGGTACCCATTTCGGAAGAACCGACATGAAGCAGGGCTAACCAGCCATGCGAGAAGAAGAAATGCAAAGAGGCAATGGGCACTTCTCTTCCTTCAGAAGAAATACTGACCAGACTCACGTCACGGCAGCTCGCACAGGAGCTCGAAAACATGCATTAGGAACGCTATATCACTCAAGTTAAAAAGAAGAGTTTAACACCGAACAACGAGAAAACCTAGGGAAGAGATTTTTTAAGAGGAGCTATTTATATTTATTCAGTAAAAAAAACAGTAAAAACTGTATGTGTCGTAGGGGGAAAAGATTATCTGCGCACGTTTTTTTGAATTCCAGAATCCCTTCCCGTCATAAAGCAAACTCCCGCTATAAAGCAAAGATCTGAATTCATGGCCTTTTTGGCCTTTTAACGTTTTTTAAATATTTAGTTTTCATTCAAAAACCCCTAAATATGTAGAGTTTAATACAATAATAACAAAGGTACACAAAAAAGTTGTCACACACAATGACTTGACAAGTGTTTTTCTATGTATTTCAACGTGCAGAATTCCAATTGAGCCATCACCCACCAAAGTTTTTTTTTAAATCGCATAAACCGTCATGACATTGAGTTTTTTATGAAGAATATTTTAATGTCTGTTATAGTTTTTATTTTATTTGAAGTTTCTTGACCTTCATAAATCATCAGTATCATTTTTGCCATTTGATCCCTATGTTTCTATTTTAAAGCTTGACGCCTGTTTGCAAGTAAATATCTCTTTTTCAATTATAAATAAGCACATCGTATTGTCAAACTGTATTAGTACCTGATAGACATATTGTTTCTTCCTTTTCCCTCATTTGTGCTTTAAAATAAGGTTCAAAAACACATGTTCATTGTTCGACATAGAGTGAACTTTGTACGGAGATGATGATGTCGGTGTTTTCGTGAATAAGGCGTCCCTCAAAACTAGGTTAAGAGCTGGCGGGGGCAGAGAAGTGAGAGAGAAAGAGAAAGAGAGAGAAGACTCTAATAGCCATTCTTCCCACAGGTCGAAACCTCCGGGTGCCCACTCAAAAAGAACAGAAAGGCTGGTCCATCTCGGAAGCAAATGAATAGAGCGATGTGCTGGAGAGGCAGCCAATGCAATACGGCAGGATAAAATTTTTTAAAACCTTTCCACCTAAAAACTATGACGAAGTGTAACAGACTGACTGATATTGCCTAACGGACTCTTTGCAATCTCTACGGAAGCTTCAAAACCTTCAATGTAACACCTAAATACATTTGCGACAAAAAAATCAATTTTTGATAGATTTTCTATATTAACGAAACGTGGAACTCTAGCTCATACTAACATTAGTATAAACTATGATTTTCTAGTGATTGCCTAAGAAAAAAAAATAATGTGCGTTTAGAAATATGTGTAATTATTTTATTTTCTAGACGAACTTCATTATTTTTTCGCTCCAAAATGCTCTACGATTTGACTCCCTGCTTGCTACGATGGAACTTTATTAATGTTTGTATTTTTTGAGCTGTCAACAATCTTGCCTCGGGGCCCAGTCGTCCACTTTATTTCAGCAGCTGTTGGCTTTCCGTATAATTCTGGATTTATTACTGGTTTTGAAGTCTTTAAAATAACAACTTCGAATTATTGGAGTTTAACTTTCGAAACTGTAATTAATCGTAATTTTTAAAGTTGAATCTATATGAAAAAAAGTCTCCTTAGAAATAGCCAATAGCAAAGTGACCAGTCTTAGAACCAGGTACTAGAAAGTCTAACTTTCTAGAACAATGTCTACTTCTAAGTTTCTATATCCTTAATTTTTAACAATACTCTATACACTACAAATTTCTACAAAACAAATTGAGTGAAAGCAAAAGCAGAAAACCTTGATGCGTGCTAAATAATAGAATTTCTCAAACGGATTTTCACAAATGATGTGATTTAGTCTTATTATTTCTATCGACAAAAAAGGAATGGGCTCTGTGAAGAAACGTTTAATACCGTTTGGTTTTCTGTGTCACACATGGATCGCCAAACAGCGCAAAATATACTCTTGCATGTTGCTTTTCTTTCCTTTACTAAGTTGCGGGTTCCCAACAACAAATTAGTGTTCCACTACTATATAATTCTTTATTTTATCAGTTCCTGCCAGTACTCTGCTACCTTAAGGATTACAGTACAATTCGAGGATGAATATAACAAAGATGAAAATGATGAAAAAAATGAAGAAAATTCAGAGATAGATGATTGTTATAAATACAACGAAGAGCAAGATAGTAAAAGTGATGATAAATAAAGGTGATGGTGAGGACGTTCACGCAATGTCTCCATGTTTACAGCGACGCAGCAAATCGTAGAGAGCAAGGTTCCGGGGGCGGTCAAGTGAAGCCGCATCGTGACACTGGCATTTCCGCCTGCACAAGAGGCAGCACACGGCCGCAGCGGGAGGGAAACCAATGGTCTGCAGCTGCGACAGAAACTCAACGCTGACGAAACCCTGCAATCATAGATACTAGAGAGCGAAGGAAATTTGTGGCAGTAACCAGTTTCGTAACGTTAGCAAAAAAGTCAATGCAGGTACAGAAAGTGATAATATCGTCTGTGCAATAATACGCGGAAAAATACGTTACACGGATACACTTCACCTTAAAGAAAATTCAACTACCACAATTAATATTAAAAGCTGTTTATTGTTACTCTATCTATTGCTTTAAAAAATGTGTGGTTTATTGTTACTCCATCTTAGAAATTTGTATTGTAATTATTTACTATGCGAATCATGGTAGATACAATGAAACCTCGTTGCTTTATTTGTGAACGAAATAACAAAGAATTCAATTTATGAAATATTTTAGAACAAAGTCCAAGTTGCTTAATAGTGAAATAAGGTCAAAATAGGGAGAAATTCTTAATCGTATTCGTGTAATCTAAGAATAAGTTTCTAGTGTTATGGTGAATTAATCCATCTTGAATGGAACCTTATTCTTAGATTTCGCAACCCAGTCACCGAGTGCAACACACTATAAAAAGTCCTTGCGGTTGTGCGGTAAACAGAAGTGGAATGGTTGGACGGGTGGAGCGGAACGAGGCGACAGGCAAGTGTGAATAGGCGGGGAGGAACGAGGCGGGGAGGAACGAGGCGGGGAGGAACGAGGCGGGGAGGAACGAGGCGGGGNNNNAGGCGGAGAGGAACGAGGCGGAGAGGAACGAGGCGGGGAGGAACGAGGGGGGAGGAACGAGGCGTGGAGGAACGAGAGGGAGAGGTACGAGGCGGGGCTGTACGAGGCGGGGAGTAACAAGGCGAGGGAGGTACGAGGTGGGGGAAGTACGAGGCGGGGAGGTACGAGGAGAAGAGTTACGAGGTAGAGCGGAACGAGGCGGGGAGGAACCAGGTGGGGAGTAACGAGGCGTAGAGGAACGAGTCAGGGAGGTACGAGCCGGGGCTGTATGAGGCGGGCAAGGTTCGAAGTGGGTGAGGTACGAGGCGGGGTGTAACAAGGTGGGGAAGGTACGAGATGGGGCCAATATGCGGCGGGGTGGGTACGAGGTGGGGCGAAAGTAGATGAGACGCGAGGAAGACGAAGCAAATGGCAAGCAATAGAACGTCGCGGGGGAGGCCCAAATTGAAGCAGGGCGCGGGGGCGGAGGACGCGAGAGCGGCGGCGGGAGCGGGAAGCTGAGCGCAGCGGTACCGGAAGGCGTCTGCGCGGCGGAGCGTCTCGAGGATGTGCCAGAGCCGCGCGCGCGATAGGCGGCAGCGCGCGGCGCTCGTGGGACCGCGGCGGCGGCGGCGGCGGCCGCGCCGTGCGGTCCGAGGCGAGCCGTGGCTCCCCCGCCGCCCGCGCGCGCGGCGCGCGTCTGGCGTCTCCGGCCCGAGCGGGCGTCCCCGTCACACAGTGCGGAGGCAGACCGCGGCCGAGCCGCACCGCCGCTGTTGCTCTCTCCCTTGTGCCGCCGTCGTCGTCGTCGTCGTCGTCGTCGCCCGCGCCGTGTGGCGAGTGCGTGGAGCACGTGTGCGTTGGGCGGAGGTGCGTGGGACGCGTACGCGCGTCGGGGAGTGCGTAGGCCTCGTGGGTGGGTGACGACGCCTCGGCATCGGCGCAGTGTCGCCTTCGGTGTTGTCGCGTGTGTGCTGCGAGGCTTTTGACAGCGTCGTTCTGCTGCCGCCGGCAGGTGAGGACAGGTAAGAGGGGGCGGGGCACCGCGCTGTCTGGAAGCTCGTTTCGGAGCTGCCAATCTTCGCCTGCGATGCCGGCGCTGGCGGGAAACCGTTAACCAACAGAACGGATGCATTGTGTAAACCGATCTGGGGGGGGACCAAGTGGCATGAGTGTGTATAGATTCAGTGACTTGGTGGGAAAGGGCGTGGGTTTGGATCTTTCTCTCTCCAACGAAATAATTCCCACGTTCTTTGCCTCACATGTTTACTCCGTGAATTTGTGATGTGTTGTACTGTGTGTAGGACAAGTTTCCAATTTAGAGATACCATAAGTGTGTGTAGTGCATGGTTGAAGAAACACCCTTATGGGTGTCAAGTAAAACTGGCTTCGACTGGAAAAAGTTCCATTGTTACTAATAGTGATATTCAAATATTTTCATAACCAGTACCACTCTTAAATGATTTTTATGTTGATTGAACCCAATATTTTGTCGCCAGAAAAGAAATGACAATAGCCCCACACGTATTTCATTCATTTTACCCCTACGAAAGGAGTTTGATTTAAATTGATTGTGTAAAGGCAACGTAATAATTAAATTGTTTTTGTATTTTTTTTTTTTGTGATCAGTTGAAATACAAAGTTCAAGTAAATTTGTTGTCTTCAGTAATCGTATTTTAGTTTTACGATCACGTTTGTACATCTATTGGGCTTAGTTTGTTGTTGGAAATACCCATAAATTTTTAGTTTATGAATGTGAAAAGAGGATTATTGATCATTATGTTATTCTGATGACTTTAATTATTTTACACTCAATGGATTGTATATTGACAAACCGTATCTAGATTTATTAAAACAATTAACTCTATTTTTTTTAAATTTGCATGTTGTATCTTACTTGCAATGCACACAATGTTGAAATGTACATAAAGGCATACATAAAAGTTAAATCAAAATTCGTTGGGTCGTATTGAATCCCCCCCACCAACTAAACCCCGCGAGAGGAAACGGAAGGTTCGTCGGCCTCCGAATGCCTTCCCGGGAGTGGTTCGTCCTTATCCGCTGGGCCTCGAACAGCTGAGCGGCGGCGGGCGGCGTCCGGTGGAGTGGCCGCGGAGGGCCGTTGACAGCTTACCGCGCCACTGCATGCTAATGGAATAACAAAGCGCCCCCCCCCCGCTGTTTTTAATTCACCGGCGAAATTCGCGCTGACATATACGGACGTATCACGTTTCGGGCACGACCCTAGTAGATATCAACATGCTAATGTGCCGTAATGCCTTCGCTGTAAACGCATTTCGGTGAGTATAATGGTCCATCAGTTGAACGATAACTTTACTAGGCTGATATTAAAGAAAATCAATTTTAACCAACGTCTAAGGTGTGGAATCGTGTTGGCTGCCGACGTGACGTGTATGTAAAAGGCGAAGAGGATAAGATTTAGTACGTCGTGTGCGTTTGCATGCATAACAGCTGCGGTAAATCGCTCGGGAATGACGAAAGACCGTGCTGCGACGGCGCGGGTGACCAAAGAGAAAACATTTGCCCTCGCGCGCGGCGCGGGGCGCGTGCTGTTCCACAAAATTATGTTGATCATTCCTCCGCCTACGTCGTTACACAATGCGCTTTCGGCGCGGTGTTTTGAAAGTGCAGCCAGAACAATGGGCGGGGCGTCTGCGTGTGCATGGCGAGGGCGCGATCGCAGGTGCTGCACTGGGTCGCACGTTGTCCGCCGCATTTGGGTAAGTACGTTGTGACGCTTCCAAAATCGAGTTTTTGTTTCATATTACGAAACTAATTCTTGATAGTAGAAGGGGCGAGTACTTCCATGTGCGGTAGAAGTACACAAATTTTCCAATTGTTAATGTAGAAACAGATTGTATAACACGTGTATTAAATATTACAAGGATTTATCTTTGTTGTCTTGTTACAATTATTGATATTTCTGTTTTCATATCAGTAGTATCTTCTTCGGTGTCTCTAATCTTACAACTGATAGATACAATCAAGACAGTTCATTTTCATGACTGATTAATAAAAATGCACTCTAAGTTAAATAGATTAGTGAAAGTAACGTTAATATTGTAGAACACCTAACTGAAAATTTTTAACAATTATTTAGTCGAATAATAGAAATTTGTGCAAGAATCAATTTATTTTGGTTTATTATTTCCATTTCTGTTAAAAATTTGGTTAATGGAGCGAGTATCATCACTTCACCTTTTTATTTACAAAACAATAATATCTGCAAAACTTGTAGTTTAATGACTCCAATACTGCCTTCGTTCCATTTTCAGATAAATTCCATTTGTTAGATACGAAAAAGAAATACAACTGAATGCGAATATTTTGCCCGGAGGCAAGTTTTACAAATGCAGTGAATTTGACGAAATCCTCAGGATTCGTTAAAAAAGATTTTGTTTAAATAACATAAAGGAAATTTGAAGAATTTCCCACGTTTGGTTTAGAAATTGAGTTCGCAAAGGTAAAATTTTCTCCTCGCACCACTTTTTCAGGATCAGGGATGACCTCACCAAAAACATTTATTCCATCTATATCGCCAGTTATATTTTTGCGAACTTAAGGTTTAATAAGGACTCTTTTCACGTAAGTGATGAAGATAAAAATCATTATTGAACACTAAAAGTAAACTACTTTAAGGAAATACAATTTGCTTCATTAACAGTATTGAAGAGTTGCACATATGTGTCAAAAGACAGGGAAAATCATGCATACATAAAATTAGAGTAGAAATCCAATGAACTTTATCCGCCCAACTTCGTTATTTGTCATCGACAGATTTTGGTATCGATCAATCGTCGCTATATGCTATTGATGAAATCGAAAATGAAATCATAGGCAGTTTTTATTAAGAATAAGAGGCATCGCGACGTCTCTCAACAATTTCGAAGAAATAATTATCTTCATGAATGGCTGAATTAATGAAGAATGAAAAGCCTTAATACAACTTCTATTTGGTGAATGATTAATACTATTGAACACTAGATATATAATATTTAAATTAAGCTTCGTTAACCCTAGTGACAAAGCGAGAATTCATTATCAGGACCAACAGGCAAACAACGTGTTTTGAAGCTCATAAACTGGCTTTTGGGTCAGAGGTCGGAGAGTATAAATTTTGAACAAAATAACCATAAAATAACGTTAAAAATGTAATAAAATTGTAAAAATGGCTTTTCTACAAAGTGTCTGGTTTCTCATGTTATAACTTCTTTCTTAATGTGTTAATGTCTTTCTTAGCTGTTAATTTTTTAACCCATGCTCGCAATTGCACTCACGCATTCACTCTTATTTGCATTGACAACTGCACTCCGCACTCTGTCATTAGGTGGTGGGTGCAATTGCGTATGTAAAGAAGTGTGAACGCAGGAGCGTTTAAAAAATATAGAAATCTTAGAAATATAATTAACTGTTAACGTAGCAGTCTTTTGAACTGGCGTTTCAACTTCATTGATACCGCGACAAAATGTTATCAAGAGTTAACCCATGAGACAACCACGGACAACCCATAAGAAATTTATGGTGTAGAAAGGAAGGTTTACTCGGGGTTCCGTGAATCTCATTCTGCCATTTGGCATCATTATTCTCTTGAGTATCTTTATTGCTATAATCCATTGATTAGATTATCATCACTTTAGGGGCCATAGGAATTGAAGGACACAAACTCTAATGAATTTAGATATTAACATCATTAGTTCAATCAACAGCAAATGAGATATACGGCTGAAGTTTGCAAACCGAAATTAATAACCAAGCAAGTCTGTGATTAGTGCTATTCGCCATATATCGTTCAATAATTCTATTAATACCATCTTCTAAAAAGAAAAAGTGCTAAAAATTAGAAATAATATTTCTTGAAATGACTGTACTCGCACACCATTTTCAATTACAATCCATTTGTTTACATTGCTCTTAACGGTCAGAGGACTGTTAAATCTTAAGTGAACGCTGGTCGTTAAGAACGGCTTTTAGTTGTTCTGATTCGTTGTGTTAAGTCTATAAAACATCCCGGTATTACGAAAACAAAATAAATAAACTAATTATATAAATCGAGAACCCCCATTGCCCAACGCTTAAAAGCAGATTGACCCTACTGCTCGCCCAATCCCGTGCAGCTGATGTGCTCGGAGAAAAAGTTCGCAAGTTCGCGCGTCCTTTGAAGTGTTCAAAAGACCGACACGCGGGGGGTAGGGCGAGCACCGAATATTCGTCGCTCGGCAATTAGCAAGCAACTCATCCACACGATTCGAGATTCAACGAGCGTTCGCTTGCTTCCACCGAATTCCAAATATGTGGAGCTTTTTCGCCTTCATCTCGGTCGGCCTCCACGTGGGCCAGCCAGCGCCACGCTTTCCATCTTCCGGCCCTGCTGGACGACCGCTTTTTTGTCAACAAGTGGCCGCAGGGGCGTGGGCGGGGCGGAGGTGGGGGCAGGGGCGGGGGGCGGCGGCTGACCCGAAGGCGGCGCCGGCGCGGCAGCGGGGCGGGGGTGGTTCACGCAGGCAGCTGGGCCGCTTTTGTACTCCGGGGGTTGTAGCACCCTCCTGCCAGGTCTCAACAGGCAGGGGAACTCTCTCGGAAGCAACCTGCTGCCGCTTTGCATTCCCCCATTTCACAGGGAGAAACACTACAATGTGTTGGGCGAAGCGACTCAGAACCATTCAGAACTGAAGTATGATAGTATCTTATTCGCGGTTCTGACAGTTATACAGATTTTTTAAATTGTTTACTTTGATAGTCTTAAATGGACTACGGATCGTAATAATGAAACCAATATTTCCATGCGATAGACACGTTTCTGCCTTTTAGATGTATCTAAACTTGACAATATAGTATGAATGGTTAATGATTCGCAAGTAACATGGAGAATTCTTAACGACCATAAATACAGTCCTAACGATGGGAACACAACACATTTTCCGGGACGTTGGCAAACAACCATGTTTTACATTTTTTTGCTACTACTGGCCAAGCCGCGTTAACCTGATTTCATTATATTTACAGATATTTCTAAACTGAATGAAACATTAGTTTGAAAGGACAGGCATAGTGAAAAATGCTCATTGTTTCCAAATCACAAACGTTCCAATATTTCGCCCCACTTGTGTTACTCAGTGACCCATCGTTACAACTAAAAAGTTAACGGTTATAAACCTTTCTTCACGCTTGTATAATGGGACGCTAAAACCAAATCCTAGCTTTTTAAAACTATTTTGTAAATAATGACACTCCGTGAATTCATTACTTATTAATAATTTCCACTTAATCACAACTAAAGCTTCCTTAACATTTTATCCGTCTGAGCAAACGAAAAGAGTAATGTAATTTCCTATGAACTTTACATATTCCTTCCTCCTACCCTTCTAAATATTAAAAAGATTCAACAAATTTTAATGATGCGAAGACTAGATCTTTCTGGAGCTTTGGTGTATTACAGGAGCGTATGTTTTTTTAGGAAGTAGAGTTCTGTTCGTATAACGCATGATATATAATTCTTTAAGGCGTAAGAACCGAATCTTACCGTTTAATAATTATATTGTAAATAATAAAACGACACTCCAAGACTTCACCACTTATCCCTCTTAAAAGTTTATCCCTCAGCGCAAAGTTAATTTTTTAGTTAATCGATAATTAAAAGTCTTAAACAGTAGTAGTTCATCTACAATCTCTCCGAAACCTACCCTCACTGCACCTGCCTTTGTCATATTCATAAACCAACTCATTTTTGTTTGTTTCAGGGAGTCAGTATAAGAACACCTGCGTGACCGCCCGCTCTCAGCCTCTGGGTAGATCAAAGCCCGAAACTCTGCGCCGAAGCACCGCCCGCTTATCTCGCGTCGAAGCAGCGCTCGCGCGTTCCCGGGGCAACTGAACGTCCGCGAGAAGACGTCGCCGAGTGAAGTGCGTCCGCGGCGAAGACAAGCAAGACGGCCGCGAAGTGTGTAGAGACGCTGACACGAAAATAAATCGCGCGAGTGCCGTGATCAATTTGGAGCGTGACGGCGACCCGAAGAGATCTGATGGTGCTCTGACTCGCCCCGTCAGTCTTCTCAACGCCGGCATACTGGAGTTCACGGACGGTGAGTAGTGGAAGGCTGGCAGCGAATGAATTTTATTTTACAACTTTGTTCAAATGCAACAGTTGAATAATACAAATACCTACTATACACATACAATATAAAACAATACATACATACAAGAATGTAATATATGCTATTTCTATATATATGTATATATGTGTATACATATGTATATATGTATTTACATTTATATACAGGAAAAGGTTAGTACGAGTGTACATACATACATACATACATACATACATACATACATACATACATACATACATACATACATACACGTACTAAGCCTTTTCCTGTATTTATCAATCACACTGATCTTTTCACCTGTGCCCTCTAATAACCATCTCACCTAAACCTGAATATTCCACTTTGTTCATATACTTCCTTCCTCAAAAAACGAAACATCTCTCTAAAACATATTCCCAATCTTTTTCATCCATCTCACAGATTCTACATTTTTTATCCTCATTGTTGAGCCAATATTTGCTCGCTCTCAACTCATTACCTAACCTATATCATGCAATCCTACGTTTGTAATTTTTTCTTGCATTTATCTTTCAAGCAGTGCTTTACGTCTTTGTGCCTCCGAAAGGAAGAAATGCGACTGATTTACACAGGATGTATCTAGACATCGGCAAAATTTAGGACCGATATCTTCATGTACAGAAAAGAAACGCAGCTTCTTGTAGCATGAACAGTCTGTGCACTTGTACATTCCGAAATGAACAAACTCATATTGTTCTTTCGATTAGGTAAAAAGACAAAACATTACTTCTTACAAATATTCAGCCAAATTGTCGTATATTTGTCGTGTCCGAAATGCATCTTTAGGTTTGCGTCTCAAAGAAAAGAACACCCTCGTCCCCGTACGTGTTTACTGATTTAGGTGAGAATTAGTTCCAGAACCCCTCGCATGATACTCCGTTTAGAAACGCAACGACTCGTTGCCATTAAGCGCTCTTTACGCACAGAAATGCTTTTTTAATAGTTTTCTAACTTGCACGGTTTATACTTCGCTGAAATACACCAACGGTCAAAAGACCTGGACACAAAAGTGACCAGAAAACAACAACTTACTCCTCAGGGAATTACTGAGAAAGGCATTACAGTGCGACGTGTAATAGCCGAAAGCTGAAAATGAACGACTCTCCGACAATACCTTCCGAATTCTCCACACGTGCTTCGCTTAACAGCTCGGAGAGGCCATTGAGAGACGTGGAGTACATTCTCGACGGTGGGAAAAAGACAAATGTGAAACACGACTACGCGGCACCTACGCGTGTTGTGTTCGTGCATTGGAATCTCCGAGCGGTTACGTGGGACTGAAATAGCACCCCGTCGCATGCCGCGAACCTTATATAGCGGAGCGGCTAGCAACGGTACGCGGGACAAAACCTCCCTGCCCCCTTGCTAACGCGAGAAGTAGTAAGTCTCTTAGCGACGGTACGCAGATCTGTCCGTCCCGCCCCCGCCCCCGCCCTCGCCCTCGCCCTGAGAGCCGCGCCAAGTAGATGGCCCCGCTAGAAAGCGCTGCTATCGCACGGCCGAAAACGGATCCCGTGGAATTCTTGAGAGAATCCTTAACGACCATAAATATATTCAGGATGAGTCACTTGATTGAAGCTCCTCCTGTACTTTTTGAACGGTTACTGCAGTGCAGTTTTCACGGAAGTGCATGAAGGAATGAAAATAATTAATGTATGTATTCGTTTCCATTTTATCGCTTGTATTTAATGGGATATGGATGTAACTTTGTTGTTGTTGTTGTTTTTGTTGTTGTTTTAAATAGAACTATACATATTGTTTAGTCTGTCAGGACGAGCGTAAAAAAATGAATTCAATGACACACACACACACACACACACACACACACACACACACACACACACACACATATATATATATATATATATATATATATATATTAGTTAAACAGTTTTTGAATAATTTTGATTTTTCGCGTCCTAACGGATATATTGAATGAAACAGTTCACCACACAAGATCACGCGCGCTCATGGCTTACAACAATAATATAATAATAAATATAATAAAATATAGTGATTAATATATTAAATTAATTTATTATTACTAACTTTATAAATAACTACCTGAAATACCCTCCTTTGCCAGCAAAGGCGCTTAGACAATTGTTGATAAATCCCCGACTCGCAAACTGGGGAGGAGATTTATCTGAGAATTTTCAAAGCACGAGTGGTATTTAATAGAACTATTCCACGAGTGAAATGACGTCCAACAGAGTTCCAAAATGCGCCAATTATTGAAAATAATTGATAGTCTATGTTCAATTCAAATATATTGAATTGTAGTACATACGCTGGGTATTGGACATTGATACAGCGATCGATGTATACCGCCTCCTAAGACAGATGCGTCGCAGTTTATGATTGACCAGTAGGTAGACGTGGTGAGAAAAATCGTACAGAAAAAGCGATAAACTTTTTGAGATACACCACCCTGATTGGAATATTTTGTGTTTTCCAACCAAAAGTTGAACACTATTGGTTTTAATTACACGAGTGGGATAATTTATTAGACAGGAAGAGATACTCCATCTATTCATGACTAACCGCGAAGATTTCTTGTATCTATTCTAATGCATTCCCGCTCCATCTTGCCCAATCTATCTCTGCCTTGCTCCCGCCATGTCTTGCTCACTCACTTCCTCACTAAAAACTTTACATGTGAACAAGGTTCCCGACCCCAAACTTCACTCATTTTTTAACTAAAAGTAATAAATAAATCCAAACTAAAAAATAAGGATAAGGAAAGTAGCAAAACGGAGAATTTTTGTTTTTGCCATTGTATGAAGATCAAGTTTTGTATGTCAGTAAACTTTCTAAATTAATGATTACGAGAAAATTTGGACATGCATGCAAAAATTGATAAAGAGAGTACTAGAATACATGAAAGATTGTGTCTATAAAAATTGTTATTGTTGTAGTTTTTAAATAGGATATCCGTATTATTATATAAGTTAATACATAATGAAATGTTGATAACTGAATTAAGTATTATTTATGAGTAAAAACAAAGACAGTTCCGAATCCTACTTTACGAATATATTTCGCTACCAAGTACCAGTATAGGCGATCTTTCAGACCTACACATCTATTAATGTTTATCATGTTGGGGCGGTCTTGAGATAACCTTCGGCCAACAGTCGAGTGAAATGGGAAATTTGAACAGTAAATTCAGGAGAATAATTAAATAAAAAGGTACCAGGAACGGTATCAATTAGAATAATTTCTCCACTGTAATAAAACACTTTGAAACAAAATTTCATCCATCTGTCACAATTTCAGCCGAAAACGTAAATAATGCATAAAGAATGCAACTCGAAAAAACGTAATACTCATACTTGATGTACTACAACGATACCAATAACTATATCATGTAGAATACCGTGTCATACGCTTTTACGCCAATATCAAACATCTATCAGAAAAATGTCGTTTTTCAAACATTTCATATACGTAAAAGTATACTTATATAACTCTCTTGAATACTTCCTACATTAACGTCTAGAAGCAATTAAAATCAATATCCAAATTACTTTTATAATTAGAGTAAAGAGAAACAGCCAGAATCGTTCTTAAATATTAAAAAAAATGTGATAAAAGTTTTAATTTAAATGATTGACGGTAAAAATCAACAAACCACATCTTACATATAAACAATTCTGTACATTAATGAACTTAATCGTAGTCATCAGTCGTCATCCTCTGGTGGCGTGCTGCTAAACAATTGAACATTAATGCACTCTTGAATCTGTGATGTAATGCTAGGCGAAAAAAGTTTAGAAAAGTAATTATTTTATGAATATGTTAAGGTTTATGGTTGTAAATCATAACCGATATTACTCTTGACCTTCAAAGGAAGTTAGCTTACAAGTTTCATTGACATTGGTCCAGTATATTTAGAGATTATTGCGATTTGACGCAACGCCATTGTATCTTTGTATATTAGTGTTGATACAATTTTTCTTACAATGTCTCGCGTATTATTTTCATCATTCACTTCTTTCCATTTCTTGCATTATGGAATGTCAATTACATTTTCTTTTCTTCTTCCTTATCAAAGACTTTCCGGTGATTGGTTCATTATACTATTGTCTGCCACACTACAGAAATGGATGTTAACTGGCAGTAAAATGCAAATATAAGGTTGATAATATTCGGATGTCCAAAATGTTTATTTTTCAAGAAAATTACAAATATTGTCTCTCATGTTCAACTTTCAGTGTAAAACTCGTTCACATAATTTACTCATTCCAGAATGTGTCCGCAAATACATTTTTGGATAAAACTTGTGTTACATGTGAACACAAGTCTGATGTTACAAACTCTGCGGATATATGTAGATTTTCATGTCCTACTTGGTGTTAGATAAGTTACAACTTCTTAAGGACTACAGACAGATTCTTATCTCGTCGAACAGTATTCCGGAGTTTTTCTTAATAGCAATAGTACTTCAACTTAAATGTTTTGAAAATCATAATTATTGACACGTCTGTTGAATTCTTTGGTGCGTGAACACTGTTGTAGTAAACTTCTAGCTTAATTAAATACTTCTCTAAACAGATTAACTAGGTGGCGATAAAAATGACCATTAGACTCTACGAAAACAGATTTCTTGAATTTCGAATTTTTCTTGATATACAAATCTTTCTAATGTGTAAATGATGTATTGTGTTTAAGGGACGCAGAAATTTTCTATTAGGAATTCCAGTCTAAGTGATAATTAAATATTACATTTTCGTGCACGCTAAAAATAAAATATATACGTTCTGCAATTAACACGAATTTTCGTGCATATTTGAAAGGACCGAATAAAAAATTCTACATATTTTGATACTATGTTTCATTATTTCTAAAGCTTTATTGCTCAGTCCAGAAGTATTGTTATATCTATCAACAAAATTCTTTTTATTGCGTACTGGGAGGACAGAAATATTGATGTGTTGTACTATGCTTTC